GTTGCTGTTCAAGTTGAAGCTCTTGCAGCTCTTCAGTGGTAAGCTCTCCCTGTGGCCCTCCCCCAACTCTCCCATCCTCGCCACTCACCTGCAACCCCAGGACTTCCCCAGTGCCACAATAGAGTCCACAGGGCGGCAGAGTCAGGGTGAGCTTAAAACCCCTTCAAAAACCCCTCTCTTGGACACAATCTGGCTACAGTTTTCTCCAAGCAGAGTTCAAAGTCCTGGAAGCCACTCCCCCCCAACCCTTTAAATTCTAAAAGGCTTATGCAATAGAGGATAGTGAAATAATTCCTCCAGAACTGTCTTAGGGTCAACCGAGTGTCCGAGGTCATTTTCAAAGCACTTTTTAAAAAAACTGCTTTTGTGTAGTTTTTTGAAGTTAGAAATTACTTTTTGGGGTCCATGGGCTGGAGGAGAGGAGTTGTGTTAGAGGCAGGAACTTCACTGTGATGAAATTGAAGTCCCTAAACACTTGGCCTTGCAAGTCTGGAGGATGTGCAGGAGCATTGTTCGTACCAGGAGGAATTTGAGTGGGAATTTTCTTTTCCAGGAGGTATTTTTTCACACTTGGGCCAAACACATCATTAAAACCCTTTGAGGGTTTCGGGAAAATACTAGTACGTCTTACGCGCAGGGGTTTTTGACGTACTAGTACGCACAAATTCTAGCGCCGTCAAATCTCGCTGAAAAGGCTGGTAGGGCCTACAAGTGAGAGAATGGGCTTGGGTGGTCGGTGTGCGTGGTACAAAAAAAAATCTGGGACCCAGTGGTGCATTGTGGGAATGCCATCTTAGTAAACAATATCCACCATGCTTGCGGTAAGAAGCTCCTCACTCCTCGGCGAATTGGGACACTTTTGTTCCCAGTGACAGTTCTAATACAGATGGAAGTGCCAGTGAAGTGAGTTTCAAGGTTTTGGTGAGGTTTTGACCGAAACTAATGACCATAAATCGGTAATAGTGAGGAAAACCCAAAACGACCCTCAGCCTTCCACCTCTGGTGCTGGGCCGTCTTGTTCACATTCAGTTGTACCAGAATCCAAGAGGGAAAACTTCTTTTTCCCAAATCCCAGACTCAGATGAGAGCATTGGGGGATGATAGTGATAGTGAATATGAACTACAAGCTCTTCAAACTAGTTCCAGTAGTGATAGTGAAGTGCAATATTCCCCAGTGAAGCGTCAGTAATACGACGATATATGCCTCTGGTAGTGTGCCATATGCTGTTCCAAGGGGAAGGAGTGCATCTCGGAGTACATCCCGTGGCTGTTTCAACAGGAACAGACAGTGAAAATGACGAGATACTGTTGCAATTGGGGGTGGAAAATGTGTGTGGTGGTAGTGGGGCCGGCGGGTGAGGCACCAGCAGTGGGGCCATGCTGCCACCCACGCTGCCACCCCTGCTGCCTCAGCTGATCTACAACAAAGGCTACCATCCCCACCCACCCACCACACCAGCCTCCACAACCACAACCACCTGTCATTGTCCAGTACCCACCAGCAGACCGCACCTGGGATTGCAGGAAGCTGTCAATTTTGTTCCAAATGCCCACCAGTTTTGATGACAGCCAAAGTGGAATAAGGCCTCTTGTACACTTGGAACAATGCCACTGAACTGGAATGTTTCGAGTTATTCTTTTGACGAACCACTGATGGAAAGTATTGTCATGGAAAGCAACACATACTACAAGTACACCATGGCAAAAACATTACTTTCACCAAAATTAAAGTCTACACCAATGGAAGGAGGCAAAATGTGGCTGAGATGTATCTTTTCTTTGCCCCAATAATGCTTATGCCACATGTGTATAAGCACAAAGTGAAATCATATTGGTCAATAGACCGCCTGATTGCAACCCCCGGTTTCAGTGATATAATGCCAAATGAATCGATTTGTGCTAATGTTACGTATGCTTCACTTCTCAGGGCAAAACCAGGCCCGACAGAAAACGACAGGTTATATAAGATTAGGAATGTGTTTGTGTATCTGAAAGAGAAATTCAGTACAAAATTTTTTATCTCTTCAGGAAAACTTGTAATTGACGAGTCTTTGATTCTGTTCAAAGGAAGACTTTCTTTCAAGCAGTACTACCAAACAAGAGGAAACGCTTTGGTATAAAGTTTTTTGTGCTTTGTGATTGTTACAGTGGTTGGTATTGGATATTATTTTTGTACACTGGAAAATTATACATTGCAAAATACTACCAGGAAGTTATTGGGCTCTCAGGTGATTGGTTAGAACAATGAAGAACCATACCTTGGTAAGGGGCATATATTATTTTACAGATAACTGGTACACAACCCTCACTCAGTGATTTTTGCGAGTGAACATGACAGATGTGTAAAGGCACAGTGCATGCAAATCGGAAACATATGCCCAGGTTTGACGCTGGCACTCGTAGAGGTGAGGTGCAGGCGTTTGCTGCCAATGACATCATGGCATTTCGGTGGCATGACAAACGAGATGTCACACTGTTGTCATCAGTTCACCCCCCTAATGAAATGGCAGACAGTGGCAGGCAGCATAGAGAGAGCAATGAACCCATTCTAAAACCTGCAGCTGTGATTGATTAAAACCTTCAATATGCATTCAGTGGACAAATGTGACATGCAGATTGGGTTTGCTGATTGTGTTCGTAAGAGTTACAAGTGGTACATAAAACTCTTTCTCCATCTTCTGGACATTTTTCCCTGCCCCAATGCTTATAATATGTAAAGATGAGGACCAGAAACAAACCACAGTACGGCGAATTCTGTTTGTCTGTCATCAGACAAATAGTATTCAAGTACCAAGGAACAGCACCTGCAAATTTACCGCCCCCCAAATTTTCAACAACTACCTGCTCGTCTGAAGTATGGTGATCACTTCCTGGTAAAACTGCCTGTACTGCTTTCAAGAAAAAGGCTCAGAAGAGGTGTTACGTCTGTGCACATACAAAAAAATGCCCACAACAATGCAGAGACACTTGTTTTATTTTGTGAGGAGGTGTAAAAAAACCACTGTGCATGACACCATGTTTCAAAGACTTCCACAGGCTGCAGAACTTCTAGAAACATTCCCTGTGGGCTGTATAATGGTTATATAAAATATAGAAAAATAGTAATAAACAACATTCATATCGTTTGTTTGTGTAAATATTTTCTAAAAAACAAATAATGACAACAGTGTTTTAAGCCCTTATTGTGTAGTATTGAAAAAGAAATAACTTACAAAATACTGATCATGTTGGCCTCAGAGGCCATAAAAGTTACTCAGAAAAAGAAAAACTGAAAAATAATTGAAAATAGTACATAAAAAGTAAATAGAAAAATACCGGGTGATGGCAGTCGGCGATGTTACCAGATGTTGTTTAATTTTGGCAAACCTCACCTCCATATCTCGGTAAGTATTGACGGTAAATTTTTTTGTTTAGCCTATAATGTTTAGAAAAAAAAAAAACTATTTTTTCATAAGAAAATTTTTTTTTTTTTTTTTTTAAATTTGGCCGACCCTGAGAAGGAGTTTCAGAGAGGGCCTGTCGACCCTCAAAGGGTTAACCCACCATTTGAAAATTTGCCTTGTGACTCATGCCTTATGATTAGCTTTCCACATTACACACAATCTATTCTTCATGACATTGTTTTTCTTGAACACTGGGGGATTTTCTGAGTGATACACAAGTAAAGGCTTCACTTTGAAATCCCCACTAGCATTGCCACACAACAAAAGAGTAAGCCTGTCTTTCATGGGCTTGTGTCCTGGCAGTGCCTTTTCCTCCTGGGTAATGTAGGTCCTGTTTGGCATTTTCTTCCAAAACAGGCCTGTTTCATCACAAATGAACAGTTGTTGGGGTTTGAATCCTTCAGCCTTTACATAGTCCTGGAATTCGTGAACATACTTTTCAGCTGCACATTTGTCAGAACTTGCAGCCTCACCATGCCTTACAACACTGTGTATGCCACTACACTTCTTAAATCTATCAAACCATCCTTTGCTGGCCCTAAATTCACAAACCGCAACACTTGTTCCAGGCATTTTCTTTGCAAGATCCTCATGCAACTGCTTTGCCGTCTCACAAATAATCGACTCCACAGCACTGTCTCCCACTAATTCTTTTTCCTTAATCCACAACAATAATAACTTTTCCATCTCTTCCATTATTGGTGGCCTTTGTTTAGTTAGAAAAGTTACTCCTTTTGCAACATTAGCATCTCTGATTTGTCCTTTCTTTGCCAGGATGGATGTAATTGTTGATTTATTCTTGCTGTACATCCTGGCAAGTTCCACCACCTTCATACCACTCTCAAACTTTTCTATCACTTCATGCTTAAATTCCATGGCATTTATCACTTTCTTTACCATAGGAACTTTACTATGAACTTTCTTTGGAGCCATGGTTACTTATTTCACAGTTGCACTGCAAGATAAACCACTAAAAACAATGGTAAACAAGCGAAATGTTTGGATGTATGAGCAGAAGCTTCCTCAGCCACCGAGAGACAAAGCCAAATTGAAGCGCAAGCTGCCCCAGCCGGCGGATGGACGCGTCCAAAATGGCCAATAACTGAGCAAACGGCCGATAACCGGGCGCCAAAAAACCCGCCAATAACCGAGCTGGCCGATAACCAAACTGGCTGATAACCGGGGTTCCACTGTACATTATTTAGGTACAAGTACTAGTCAGAGAGCCCATCATAAGTCCGAGGCATTGGTAAACGAGTACGTCGCTAAGCGAGGAGAGGCTGTATTATACTTGGAAGTGGATGGAAGGATGGGTAGGCTGGGTACATCCCAGGAAGGGTTATGGGGGGAAGAGCTTTAGGAGATTTTTGAGTGGTAGGGGCTTGAGCAGCGAATGGGTACAGGCAAGTGTGTTACATCAGAATGAATGGAGGCAGGAGTGTGAACAAGATAACATTCATCAAGGGATTCATGGAAAACAAGTTAACAATATTTGAGTGTGGAGGCACAAAGTGCAGTGCCTACACTCTGAATGATGGGGTGAAGATGCTACAATACTCAATAGCATAGAATTTAGACACCATACATTATTAGAGCATGTTTAGTATACTTACTTAGTATGGATATTGTGGAATACATTTTTCCACACTTCTCACATTTGAATTGAGATTTTACACTTTTCTGAAAAGTTATTAAGAAAAGAGAATTAGTAACAATACTGCATATATATTTTGTATGAATAAAATTAATAACAACACTTAAAGGATATTAGACCCTCTTCAGCAGGCAGTAACAGGCAAAACTATACACTGCACTTCTCATCTTCTGTTTTATTTTCTCCATGTGAATTTGTCTGTACCACCGGCAAGTGTTTATTATATTTTTGTATTTTATTTATACGCTCATCTAAACTTATATAAAAAGTAAGCATACAAAATATAGGTGTGTGGGAAATGAGGATAACAAGGACAGAGCAAATGATAAAGTGTAGATCAATGTTACATTCAGAAATAAATAGATAACATAATCTGAAAACCCCAGACTCAATACACAGGGAAGATACATAAAGAAACATTTATGTGGAGGCCTCATTTCATCACTGCTTATTACAGATATCATTAATATCATCTTAGTTATCAGTGATATTATCATCATGGTTATTAATGATATTATCATCAAGGTTACCAATATTCTCATGAAAGTTATCAATATTATCATCAAGGTTATTAACCCTTTGACTGTTTTCGACGTATAAATACGTCTTACGAGCCAATGTTTCTGACGTATATATACTCAATAATTCTAGCGGCTTCAAATCAAGCGGGAGAAAGCTGGTAGGCCCACATGTGAGAGAATGGGTCTGTGTGGTCAGTGTGCACCACATAAAAAAAATCCTGCAGCACACATTGCGTAATGAGAAAAAAAAAACTCTGATCGTTTTTTTGGAATAAAACGCCGACTTTGAGGTGTATTTTCGTATAGTATTTATCATTGTATTCGCGTTTTCATGGTCTTAGGTGATAAAATGATAAACATATTACAGAAATAGAGATGATTTTCATTACTTTGACGATGAAAACAACCTTGAAACTGAGCTCAAAGTAGCGGAAATGTTTGATTTTTACCAATGTTCAGGAGTAAATAAATCACACCACACGTCCAATACACGTCACCTGGGGAGTCTAATATTCTTTCACTAGTGCACTGATATTATTTATACCATTTTTACAATAATGCAGTAGTCTGCATAACAGTAAATTTTGTATTTTTTTGTATGAATAAAAAATCAAAATAGAAAGCAATAATAATATAAGAGAGGCCTAGAGATGTGACTAATGAACAGAGCAATGTTATTTTAGTGCCACAAATGTCTACCTTGTTTATTCTGGACCCTATTTTGAAATTGGCATCTTTTTTAGTTTGTGTGAAATTGGCCAAATTGCCAATTTCTGACCACCATATTGGGTAGTCCAAATTAGTAAATGGGAGGTTTCTTGTACTCAGCTGATAGATAAAATGGAGTTCTAAAGAAATAGCTATGAGTTTGGTCAACTGGAACAATGGAATTGGCTGAAAATAGGGCTCAAAGTCGGCGAAATCGCCGATACACATATGTCGCCGAGACCGCTAACTTCGTGGGAGCATAATTCCATGAGTTTTCGACCAAATTTCGAACTTTTGGTGTCATTACCATCGGGAAAAGATTCTCTATCATTTCATAAGAAATTTTTTTTTTTTTTCAAAAATTGAGCGACATAGAATGACAGTTTCAGAAAGGGGCCTGAAACAGTCAAAGGGTTAATATTATCATCACAATTTTCAATATTATTATCACAGAAATCAATGATATTATCAGCATGGTTATCGATAATATTATCATCACAGTTATCAATAATATTACAATTTTTCAACAGATCTGTGCTGCTTGAAGTGCATATTTGAGCCGAATGTAAAGTCTGTCAACTGCCTCATAAGTAAATTTAATTCCCCATGAAAAAAAGAATATTGCAATGTATAAGATACTTAGCTCAATTAGGAAAGTTTTCGTACCTAGCAGAAATGCATCATTCCTCCTTCATCTATATAGTATCAGCAACTGAGCTGAGTATGTATTCATAACAGAAATTTTAAAAGGTAAATAAAGCTGATTTAATCTCCAATATAGTAAAATTAAATTGAGTGGCCCATCTGGAAGCCTGTAAATAGCTTAGTTTTACTAAATAAACTTCTTAGATATTTAAGTTAAATATCATAAAGTGCCATCTTTGCAAATTTTCTTTCAACAAACCAGCCGTATCCCACTGGGGCAGGGTGGTCCAAAAATAAAAGTTTGTTTAAATTTACTAATATATACAGGAGAAGGGGTTACTAGCTCCTTGCTCCTGGTATTTTAGTAGCCTCTCATGATACGCATGGCTTATGGAGCAAGAATTCTGTTCCAATTTCTTGTTTTTTTTGTTTCTTCAACAAGTCAGCCATCTCCCACAGAGGCACAGTGACCCAAAAAGAAAGAAAATCCCAAAAAAGAAAATACTTTCATCATTCAACACTTTCACCTCACTCATACATAATCACTGTTTTTGCAGAGGTGCCCAGATACAACAGTTTAGGAGCATATATAAAGATATATAACATATCCCTCCAAACTACCAATGTCCCAAACCCCTCCTTTAAAGTGCAAGCATTGTACTTCCCATTTCCAGTACTCAAGTCTGGCTATATAAAAATAACTGGCTTCCCTGAATCCCTTCACTAAATATTACCTTGCTCACACTCCAACAGCTCATCAGGTCCCAAAAACCTCAAATCTTTTCGAGGATGACCCCTACCCTGTTTTCCTTCCCCTACAGATTTATACACTCCATGTCAATCTACTTTGATCCATTCTCTCTAGATGACCAAACTACCTCAACAACCCCTGTTCAGCCTTCTGACTAATACTTTTATTAACTCCACACCTCCTAATTTCCATACTCCAAATTCTCTGCATAATATTTACACCACATATTGCCCTTAGACAGGACATCTCCACTGCCTCCAACCACCTCCTTGCTGCAGCATTTACAACCCAAGCTTCACACCCATGTAAGAGAGTTGGTACCATTATATTTTCATACATTCCCTTCTTTTCCTCCATAGATAACATATTTTGTCTCCACATATACCTCAACACACCACTCACATTTTTTCCTTCATCAATTCTATGGTTAACCTCATCCTTCATAAACCCATCCACTGACATGTCAACTCCCAAATATCTGAAAACATTCACTTCTTCCATACTACCTCTCTCCAATGTGATATCCAATTTTTCTTCATCTAAATCATTTGATACCTTCATCACCTTACTCTTATCTATGTTCACTTTCAACTTCCTACCTTTACACACCCTCCCAAACTTGTCCACTAAGCTTTGCAACTTTTCTTTAGAATCTCCCATAAGTACAGTATCATCAGCAAAAAGTGACTTAAGAAATCGTAATGACACGATTGCAAATAAACCATACCCCCGGCCGGGATTGAACCCGCGGTCATAGAGTCTCAAAACTCCAGGCTAGCGCGACGGGCTGGAGTTTTGAGACTCTATGACCGCGGGTTACTCCCGGCCGGGGGTATGGTTTATCAGCAAAAAGTAATTGTGTCAACTCCCATTTTATATTTGATTCCCCATAATTTAATCCCAACCCTCTCCCCAACACCCTAGAATTTACTTCTTTTACAACCCCATCTATAAAAACATTAAACAGCCATGGTTACATTACACATCCCTGTCGAAGACCTACTTTTACCCGTAAGTAAGAGGGCTCTTCTACACACCCTAAACTGAGCCTCACTATCCTCATGAAAACTCTTTACAGAATTTAGTAACTTACTACCTATTCCATACACAGTGGACCCCCACCTTACGATGGCATCGTGTTACGTTAAATCTGCCATACGAAGCATTTTAAAGCAAAAATTTTGCCTCGCCTCACAATAAAAAACCCGCCTTACGTGATTCGTACAGGACGCGTCTCACGTGTGGCCTCAGCGCCAGTGTTTACAAGCCAGCCAGCATATATTCGGTACATTTCACATTATCCCAGTGTTTTTAGTGCTTGTAACTGCAAAATAAGTCACCATGGACCCCAAGAAAATTTCTAGTGCCATCTCTGTGGTAAAAAGGGTGAGAATTAGAATGGAACTGAAAAAAGAGATTAAGGAAATGTGTGCAAAGTGGGTTGAACTGCAAACCTTTACGGATGAAAATCACCCTGACACAGCTACTGCAAGCCATGTTGGCAACCTGAACATTGACAATGTTATGGCCCATTTTAGGAAAGTCTTAAAGGAACAGGAGGTACAGAGCTCTATGGACAGATTTGTTGTGAGACAGAGGTCCAGTGACTCTCAAGCTGGTCCTAGTGGCATTAAAAGAAGAAGGGAAGTAACCCCGGAAAAGGACTTGCTACCTCAAGTCCTAATGGAAGGGGATTCCCCTTCTAAACAATATCTTCCACACACTCCCCTCCTCCCATCCCATCAATCATCACCAGATCTTCAATAAAGGTAAGTGTCATGTATTCTATTCTTAGTAGAGTAGTAATTGTGCATGTCTTCTTCAGTTTGTGTGTATAAAAATTAATACAGTGGACCCCCGGTTAACGATTACCTCCGAATGTGACCAATTATGTTAGTGTATTTATGTAAGTGCGTTTGTACGTGTATGTTTGGGGGTCTGAAATGGACTAATCTACTTCACAATATTCCTTATGGGAATAAATTCGGTCAGTACTGGCACCTGAACATACTTCTGGAGTGAAAAAATATCGTTAACCGGGGGTCCACTGTATTTCATCTTTCTTTCTTCCAACACACCGGCCGTATCCCACCGAGGCAGGGTGGCCCAAAAGGAAAAATGAAAGTTTCGCCTTTTAAATTTAGTAATACTGTATAAACAGGAGAAGGGGTTACTAGCCCCTTGCTCCCGGCATTTTAGTCGCCTCTTACGACACGCATGGCTTATGGAGGAAGAATACTGTTCCGCTTCCCCATGGAGATAAGAGGAAATAGACAAGAACTAGAACTATAAAGAAAATAGTAGAAAACCCAGAGGGGTGTGTGCATATATATGCTTGTACATGTATGTGCAGTGTGACCTAAGTGTAAGTAGAAGTAGCAAGACATACCTGAAATCTTGCATGTTTATGAAACAGAAAAAAGGACACCAGCAATCCTACCATCATGTAAAACAATTACAGGCTTTCGTTTTACACTCACTTAGCAGGACAGTAGACCTCCCTGGGTGGTTGCTGTCTACCAACCTACTACCTAGATAATATTTCATGTGGTAAAAAAAAAGTTTTTTTCATACTTTGGGGTGTCAGGAACGGATTAATTTGATTTCCATTATTTCTTATGGGGAAAACTAATTCAGCTAACGATAATTTAGGCTTACGATGAGCTCTCAGAAACGGATTAATATCGTAAGGCGAGGGCCCACTGTACTTGCAACATCTGCCACATTGCTCCCCTATCCACTCTATCATATGCCTTTTCTAAATCCATAAATGCAATGAAAACTTCCCTACCTTTATCTAAATACTGTTCATAAATATACTTCAATGTAAACACTTGATTTACACATACACTACCCACTCTAAAGCATCCTTTCTCATCCAAAATCCTACTCTCTGTCTTACCTCTAACTGTTTCAATAATAACCCTACTGTACTCTTTCCTGGTAAAACTCAGTAAACTTATTCCCTATAATTTTTACAATCTCTTTTGTCACCCTTCCCTTTATATAAAGGAACTATACAAGCTCTCTGCCAATCCCTAGGTACCTTCCCTCTTTCATACACTTATTAAACAAAAATACCAACCACACCAACACTAAAATCCCCCTTCCCCCCTGCTTTTAACATTTCTGTCATGATTCCGTCAGTTCCAGCTGTACATAATGCCTCACACACCTCCCCCACACTCACATCATGCTCTTCTTCACTCCTGAAAGATGCTATACTTCCCTGACCAGTGCATGAAATTACCACCTCCCTTTCTTCACCGACATTTAAAAGTTCCTCAAAATATTCCCGCCATCTACCCATCTACTAACTCCCCTACTCTGTATTTAACTTACAAATCCATTTGTTCCTAGGCTTTCTTAACTTGTTTATCTCACTCCAAAATTTTTTCTTATTTTCATCAAAATTTCTTGACAGTGCCTCTCCTACTCTATCATCTGCTCTCCTTTTGCAGTCTATCACCACTCTCTTCACCTTTCTTTTACTCTCCATATACTCTGCTCTTCTTATTACATTTCTGCTTTGTAAACACCTCTTATAAGCTACCTTTTTCTCTTTTATCACACCCTTTACTTCATCATTCCACCAATCACTCCTCTTTCCTCCTGCACCAACCCTCCTATAGCCACAAACTTCTGTCCCACATTATAATACTGCATTTTTAAAACTATTCCAACCCTCTTCAACCCCCCCCCCCCCACTACTCATACTTGCACTAGCCCATCTTTCTGGCAATAGTTGCTTATATCTCACTCTAACTTCCTCCTCCTCACTTAGTGTATACACTTTCACCTCTCTCTTGCCTGTTGTTGTCGTTTTCCTTTTGTCCCATCTACCTCTTACTCTAACTGTAGCTACAACTAAATAATGATCCAATATTGGTTGCCCCTCTATAAACATGTACATCCTGAAGCCTACCCATCAACCTTTTATCCACTAATACATAATCTAACAAACTACTTTCATTATGTGCTATATCATACCTTGTATACTTATTTATCCTCTTTTTCATATAATATGTATTACTTATTACCAAACCTCTTTCTACTTATAGCTCAATTAAAGGCTCCTCATTTTCATTTACCCTTGGCATCCTAAATTTACCTACTACTCCCTCCACAACATTTTTACCCACTTTAGCATTGAAATCCCCAACCACAAGCACTCTCACACTTGGTTCAAAACTCCCCATGCACTCACTCAGCACTTCCCAAAATCTCTCTCTCTCTCTCTACACTTCTCTCTTCTCCAGGTGCATAAGCACTTATTATAACCCACTTTTCACATCCAACCCTTATTTTACTCTACATAATCCTTGAATTTATGCATTTATATTACCTCTTTTCCTGCCATAACTTATCCTTCAACATTATTAATACTCCTTCTTCAGCTCTAACTCTGTTTGAAACTCCTGACCTAATTCCATTTATTTCTCCCCATTGAAACTCTCCCCTTTAGCTTTGTTTCACTTAAAGCCAGGACATTCAGCTTCTTCTCATTCATAACATCCACAATCATCTCTTTCTTATCATTTGCACAACATCCACATTAACATTAACATCTTGTTAACTATATTTATAATCAAATTAGTCTGTTGAATTTCTCATTATCTTCAACACAGTACCTTTTAGAGAAAATATCTTTCATGATTCACACATTTGTATACATAACAAGAATTATTATATACGGCATAACCTAACAAAAATTTCCAGACCTGTCTTTGATAATAATGAATTCTCAAAAGAGCCAGGAATAAACACAAAGACAAATTACTCAACCTTTCTTGGGACCTTTTCGACAGCCTCCAAAGAATCACACACATAAACTTTTTGCGCTTCATCATTGGCATTATCTTGCGCTGGTTCTTCTTTGATCACTGCTGTAGGATTTGGTTTTCTCTCTTCCCCTCTCTCTTGCTCCTCATTGTTCCTTTTTTCTTCTCTTTCAGTCTCAACAGCTTTGATCCCACTCTCTTTCAGGCAGCTCTCCAGCAAGTCAAGTGAACTGTCTAAAAAAATAAGATGAATATATTAGCACTGGTAAACTAATGAAGTATTATTGCTTATTATCATTTAGTTGAAAAACATGAAAGTTACTGGAATGCAGACTCTATGATTCTTTTAACTAACTGATTTTCTGCATCAACTGTTACAACCCTCTGCTCTGTTAATGTCCCTCCATCTCTGCTCTGCTGATGCCCTTCCCTCAACAGCTTCATCTCTTCCCCTCTACCCATATGGGTTTAGCACTTTCCATGAATGTGACAATAACATTTGTATATCTACCTCTATATATCTGTGCTTCTGTTTACCCTTTACCAATGCTTTACTGCAGTTGACAAGGGAACAGAGTATGACATTTACACTTAAGGTTCAAAAAAAAGCACCATAACATTTTTATTCAACACAAATGTCATATTACAATTTTGAAACACTTCCCACATGGTTTCTACTTTACCTTTCTAGAATTTGGAACATCCTTTTAGATTTGATAAACCTACTATGTATAACTAATGATGTTTATTTTATTATTATTACAGCCATGGAGAAGTGCTAAACTGGTAGAGGTTATACAGTGCCTGGCAGTGGGAGGGATGGGGGGTAATCATGTTTGATCTGAGGAAGAGGAAAGTAGCTCCAATCCCTTAATCAAATGCCCTTCACCATCTTCAATGCACCCCCTTGCAGGCTGAATCAAAAATAATAAATCCACAAACTAAATCTTCTTTCAGATCAAACAGTGCCATTACAACAAAACCTCAGAGAGAATCAGCACAATCATATTCCTTGTTTTAGACAAGTCAGGCAGTTGCCTTCTAAATGAATAAATGATGAGAACATTTGCATGCAAGATGCTGCTCAGTACCCTTCAATGGGCACCCACACTATCTAGTATTAATTTCTATATTTTCCATGTAAATGTGAACAGTCTACAATATCTACACACGTGTGTTATCTTTTCAATAAAAGAACAAACTTATTTACAAACCTGGATTTGTGTCTGATATTTTGTTTCCTTTTTCATTCCCATTTTTACCAGTATCTGACTGAGTTGTAGGAGTTTTCCACTTTCCATCACTCTGAGTACCAGACATAAGTGGTGATGAGCTCTTGTGTGTGGAACTGACCTGTGCTGCTTCAACCAGTGGGTATTTCCTAGGTCTACCCCGACCACGTTTAACATGGAAAAATACTTGTTGCTGATTTCCTCCTGAAGTAATAAGAAACAATCAATATCACAATTATTAAAAGTTGTAGAGAGAGTGACAAAATGTACATTTTATTCTCTGTCTTCTAAGTGGTAAATCTAATTTGTTATTTATTTTTTTAAGTACAATACCATACAGTAGTGAAATAAAAAATAAGTGTTGCCTGTTACGAAGTTAGCTAAAATGTTTTACTCTGTAAATCACATTAATCTTACAAGATGAATAAAATACCAGCACCTGGTTACCCTTTCCTTGTACTGCAATTAAGGTTCAAAAATGCAAAGAAGGATAAAGTATAATTCTGATTTCATCACTGAGTCTCCTAAATTACCTGTAAGTTAGAAAATGGCCACTGAGCTAAAAGTAAAAAGAAATAGCATTCAGTTGCATGACAGCAATAAGCTTACATGGAACAATTATATGAGGTGGAAAAGTGACAGGCATCAGGAAGATATACAAGGTATCTGCTTTTCTGCAAACAGCTTGTTCATAACAGGATGAACAAGTAACTCCCATCTTCTTCTTTCTTTCAACACACCGGCCGTATCCCACCGAGGCAGGGTGGCCCAAAAGGAGAAATGAAAGTTTCTCCTTTTACATTTAGTAATATATACAGGAGAAGGGGTTACTAGCCCCTTGCTCCCAGCATTTTAGCCACCTCTTACAACACGCATGGCTTATGGAGGAAGAATTCTGTTCCACTTAACCATGGAGATAAGAGGAAATAAACAAGAACAAGAACTAGAAAGAAAATAGCAGAAAACCCAGAAGGGTGTGTATATATATGCTTGCACACACATTTGTAGTGTGACTTAAGTGGAAGTAGAAGTAGCAAGACGTACCTGTAATCTTGCATATTTATGAGACAGACAAAAGACACCAGCAATCCTACCATCATGTAAAACAATTACAGGCTTTCGTTTTACACTCACTTGGCAGGACGGTAGTACTTCCCTGGGTGGCTGCTGTCTACCAACCTACTACTTTTAACCCCTTGACTGTTGCAACCCCCAATCCTGAAGTGTCTCCTGGTGTCGCAAAATTTAAAAAAAAAAAAAAAAAAAAAAAAAAATTCTTATGAAATGATAGAGAATCTTTTCCCGATTGTAATGAGACCAAAAACACGAAATTTGATGGAAAACTGATGGAATTACGTTCTCGCGAAGATGGCGACCTTGGTGATATTTACAAATCGTCGATTTTGCCCACTTTGAGCCCTATTTTCGGCTAATTCTATTGTTCCAGTCGACCAAACTCATAGCTATTTCTTTAGAACTCCATTTTTTCTATCGATTGAGTACAAGAAACTGCCCATTTACCGATTTCATCTACCCAATAATGTGGTCAGAAATTTGCAATTTGGCCAATTTCATAAAAATTAAAAAATATGACAATTTCAAAATAAGGTCCAGAATGAACAATGCAGACATTCCTGGCTCTAAAATAACATTTTCTTTGTTCATCAGTCACATCTCCAAGCCCCTCTGATATTACTCTTGCTTTCTATTTTGAATTTTTATTCAAACAAAAAATAGAAGATTTACTGTTATGCAGAAAACTGCAATACTGTAATAATTGTATAAATAACATTAACCCATTCATGACTGCATATTAGAATGGCTAGTTGGACATTTAATGGACAATGACATCATTTCTTTACTTTTGAACATCGGCAAAAATCAAACATTTCCCCTACTTTGAGCTCCATTTCCAGGTTCTTTTTATGGTAAAATCAATCAAAATCACCTCTATTTCTATAATACGTTTTCCATTCTATCAAAGGAGACCAAGAAAACGAGAATACAACCATAAATACTATGTGAAAATAGACCGCAAAGTCGGTATTTTAACCCATAAACGGTCCAAGCAGATCTACGTTCACATGTGTAGTGCTACAAAAGTAGATCTACGTTTTTTTTACATATTTTCAAATATAACAAAAAAAAAAAGTAGATCAGTTTTTACACGTTTTCAAATGTAAAAAAACAAAAAGAAGATCTACTTTTTTTACATACTTTGAAATGTTGAAAAAACGTATATATACGTTTGGACCGTTTACGGGTTAATTAAAAAAAAAACGGTTGGAGTTTTTTTTTTTCTCATTATGCACTGCATGCTCCAGGATTTTTTTTATATGATGCACACTTACCACACAGACCCATTCCCTCACATGTGGGCCTACCAGCTTTCTCCTGCTTGATTTGAAGCCGCTAGAATTTATGAGTATATATACAGTGGAGCCTCAAAAATCGAACGTATCACATATCGAACGTTTCGAAAATAGAACCATTTTTTCGGACAAACTGTGTCCCTATTATCGAACGCGCCCCTATTTTCGGACCGCCGGGTATGGGACCTGTGTGCCGGTCTGCTCTGTCCGCGTCCCCATGCAGGCGCCGTGAGCAGTCTAGCTTTGTTTATGCTTGAGTGAACACTAACCTGCGCTCTCATTCACGCATTTTACGATTATTTCGTCGTGTTTAGCACTTGTGGGACTGTGAAATAAGCTGCTATGGGCCCAAAGAAACTTGCTAGTGGTACCCCTGTGGTAAAGAAAGTGAGAAACACCATAGATGTGAAGAAGGAAATAATACAGAAGTATGAGAGTGGTGTGAGACTTGTTGAGCTTGCCAGGATGTATGGGAAAAACAAGTCAACCATCGGTTCTATCCTGTCAAAGAAAGAACAAATCAAGGAAGCTGATGTTGCAAAAGGTGTTAATATAGGGAGTGGATGAGGTGCCTTCTTCAAAGATTAAGGAGATTTGTGCCAAGTGGAATGATGTCCAAATGTTTGTGCAGAAGTACCACCCTGAGCAAACTGAAACAAGCCATCTTTGCAACAAGTTCAGTGACAGAACCATGTCCCATTTTAGGGAAATGTTAAAGAGGTGCCAGAAACAGAGGACTGTGGACAGTTATTTTGTGAGACAGGGGTCCAGTGATTCTCAAGCTGGTCCTAGTGGCATTAAAAGACAGAGAAGGGAAGTAACCCCAGGGCTTTACCTGAAGTCCTCATGGAGGGGGATTCTCCTTCCAAACACTAACCCCAACTCCCTCTCTCCTCCTCCCTATCTTCCAGATGCCATCACCAATCTTCAATAAAGGTAAGTAAAAATGTTATTTTATATGTATTACTATACATAATTAAAAACTATAGTATTTGTTTTAAGTAAAACTGTAATTAATCTCTATAAAATGTATTTTTTGTGTGAATATTTTTGGGTTTCTGGAACGGATTAATTGTATTTCCATTATTTCTTATGGGAAATGTTGCTTCGAATTTCAGACTTTTTGAATTTAGAACTAGCTCCTGGAACGGATTAAGTTCGATTTTTGAGGTTCCACTGTACGTCAAACACAGTACCTCGTAAGACGTATATATACAACCTCGACAGTCAAAGGGTTAAGTAACTCCCATATAGACATAAAATAAAACAGAGTAGAAAAGATTTGTATATTTTGACCTCGCTCAAAAAACTTTGTGGGCCGAAAATAAATAAATTCTTTATATATACTCCCAAAATATATAAATTCTTTATCTATATTCCATGTTTACTTTCCGTCCATTGTTTATGACACTTATATCAAAACATAAAAGATGATGTTTTGTGCTTCATGGTTTGATAAATAGGTAAAATACTGTATTTGTAAAAATGTGGTTTGATAAATAGGTAAAATACTGTATTTGTAAAAATGTGAAGTGAATGTGGCAACAAAGTGAAAGTTCCAATCTGACTCAAGCAGAACTTGCTCTTGGTGTTCCCTAAGGATCACATGACCTAGAAAACTATTATTTCATCAAAGCTTAGTGTAGTATATAGCACTGCAAGGGAGCTAATTAGAAAAAAACTTGGCTTATAAAACTATTAAAGGGGCAATTCCAATGATTAGATTAATGATGTCCTATAACCTCAAAAAAAAAGATTGATATTATAGCTATTTATTGCAATACCTCACCCTGATCCATCTCCTCCAACTTGATGTCAGTTCCATGGCCATACTCTGCAAACTGCCTGTAGTCTACTTTCTTTGTGTGACGCCTTCCTGAAAGGCAAAGCTTCAGTAGTACAGGTATTTTTTTTTAACATGTCAGCCATCTCCCACCAAGGCAGGGTGACCCAAAACATAAGAAAAACCCAAAAAGAAAGAAAAAACTTTTAGTGTCATTCAACATTTTCAGCATCATTCATACATAATCAGTCTTTGCAGAGGTGCTCAGATACAACAGTTTAGATGTCACTCCAAACTGCCAATATCCCAAACCCCTCTTTTAAAGTGCAGGCATTGTACTTCCCACTTCCAGGACTCAAGTTGGGCTAACCGATTTCCCTGAATCCTTTCACAAAATATTACCCTGCTCACACTCCAACAGCTCATCAGGTCCCAAAAACCATTAATCTCCATTCACTCCTATCTAACACATTCACACATGCTTGCTGGAAGTCCAAGCCCCTTACCCACAAAACCCCCCTTACCCCCTTCTTCCAACCTTTCCTAGGACAACCCCTACCCCACCTTCCTTTCCCTTCAAACTACCAAACCACCTCAACAACCCCTCTTCAGCCCTCTGGCTAATACTTTTAGTAACTCCATACCTTCTAATTTCCACACAACAAATTCTCTGGATAATATTTACACCACACATTGCCCTCAGACACAACATCTCCACTGCCTCAAATCTCCTCCTTGCTGCAGCATTTACAACCCATGCTTCACACTCATAAGAATGTTGGTACCACTATACTCGTACATTCCCGTCTTTGCTTCCATGGACAACGTTTTTTGTCTTCACAGACACCTCAACACACCACTCGCCTTTTTTCCTTCATCAATTCTATGGTTAACCTTATCTTTCATAATCCCATCTGCTGACAAGTCAACACCCAAATATCTGAACACATTCACTTCTTCCATACTCCCTCCCTCCAATGTGATATCCAATTTTTCTTTATCTAAATCGTTTGATCCCCTCTCCCCTTCTTCATCTATGTACACTTTGAACTTTCTCCCTTTAACCCCCTCTCACAGGTTATATTTGAAAAACACAAAAATCTTCCATATATACAGAAATGTCGTATTATTTTTGTAAAACTGCATGAGAGATCATGCACACCAGTATATTACTATAAGTGTTGTAAAAAAAAATCTGTTTATATCAAAGAGTCTTTTTCACAGGGGGAATTACTCCCAATTAATGGGTTGACCCAAAACGATTCAAGGGGACCGTAGCTAAATATAACATTAATTTTTCCCATTTTAGGCCAGATTTTTTAAATAGCTTCATTGTGGGTCCCCAAGTTCTTCCCAGGATTAAGCACCCCTTTACCAGTCTCAATCAAGGTTGTCTGTTTTTAAAGGGCAAAAACCTTTAATTTGTTTTAAAAAAACCCTTTAAAATATAGCATCGCCATTTATTAAATAAGAAGGAAGCAGGTAGTCTTTTTAAGGATATTTTTCCTCATCCCCATAAACTTTTAAGATAAATTATGTAGTATGTTATTTAAAAAAATTGTTAAACGTTTAAACCATACTGTACAAAAGTCACTTTTATACTACAATACTGGGATACTTTCCCTACTAGCTGAATATCAGTCAACTCTATTATAGCATCCATTCCAATAGGGCAGAGAGCATTTTTTTGACCCCACTCAGTTCTCCCACCTGGGGTTTCTATGTTGATCATCTTAAGGAACCTTTTCTTTTAAAATGTGCCCAAAGGAACAAGTTAATCGCTCAAAAAATATAAAAACATTAGAAGCTCAATACTTTAAAAGTGAAGGAAAACAATGGTTTTACAATATGACAAGTAGATAAAAGCCCCCCAGTGGAAAAAACTCCCAAAAAAAAAAAAAAACATAGTTACTGCTTTTGTATCTTTTTTTTTCATTTTAACGATGTCTTTTTAATTCTAGACAGAAACTAAGGGTGCTTACTAAACTCTTAAATATCTTTTAAACACTATAAGGATCACTGCTATTATTCCCTGGTTCAGATCAAGCCCGTAAATGGTAAGGCAATATTACAAAACAAACATGTTAAGCACGGGGAAATCAGTAACTTATATTAAAATTTAAGTTCAGGTTTGTGGGATTTATTTCATCTTTTGCATGTTCATGAGACAGAAGCCAAGTCCGCCAGAGTGCAAAACATTTACGGGGCCCCCTTTTTTCACATATGACAGGGTAGCGATAAGCCTGGGGGAATTACCTCCCCACCAACCTACTACCCAAGAACAAATAAAAACAAAAAATAAAAAAAAATTTTATTTTCCCCAAAAAGATCATTTGTGTTACGGAGACTGGTTTACATTTGGGCTGATTTTAAAGGTAAAACCTATATTTTAGCAAGCATTTTTGTCAAACAAAAATAGAACTTAAAATTTCCTGAATGCTAAGTTAATATTACTAAGTTGTTGAAGTAAAATTTTCAAATGCAGTGAAAATTCTAACACAACTGTTTTATTAAAAAGCCCAAATTTTTTTTCAGTGTACTGTATTTGTAAAGTTTATTAAATTATTTCATAAAGGGTTTTTAAGAATTTTGTACTTTACACGTAGCCTTTCCCAAAAAATTTCCTGAACTAAATATCCTCGGCAATATTTCCCTTTTTTTTTTTCAACTTAACTTATCTTGTTTCAAAGTTCTCTCTCCAATTTCTTTATACTTCAATAATACATCTACTTGAGTAGATTTTTGTGTGTCTAATTCATCACTGTCATCAGAAATTTTTGGCTCCTCTTTGACTGTGACAACCTGAAAAATCATAGCATGTGGTACACTCAAAATGTAACTCAGTAACTGGAAGAAAAATCAATATTCTATTGAACTCCTGCCTGCTCTGACTGTATGGCTGGTATAAAGCAAAGATTATGATTTTTAATAGTGGGTAACAACTCAGGAAAATGGGTAAAGTTAAACATCACCAACATGTTAACTAATTTAATTATACCCAGTATGTAAAATATTTTGAAATGTATGTTACAATTCTAGAAGGAGGATTTTAATGAAGGCAAAATTTAACTCACCAATGAGACACGAGGATGGGACATTGCAAGGAGTGTGAGCAAAACGCAAAGACCTTTTATGATGAAATACGTTTAAGAAATGTGTGTGTATAGTATATTTGACACTTATACACTATGTTGTACTGTTAGCAGAGGAGTGTACTGATAAGTGTAGCTTAGTTGTCTGAGGAGAGGGAATTAGAGCATGAATGTATCATGTACAGCATATCTGGATAATTGTAAAAATAAAGGGAAATTAAAAAAAAAATCAGTGAGTATAAAGAAAGAATGATTATAACTAGGAGAGTGAGACTGGCATTTCAGTACCTCCTTGCTGATATTAGTTTGATCATCTGTGAGGAGTGACGACTCTGTGCACCTAGAGGATCCTCGACCTCTGCCTCGCCTTCTCTCCCCACCACGCACTCTTAATCCTGACACCTTATAAGTGATGAGAAATTTACTCATATTAATATAATATAATAATATCTTTATTACATGTACATGGTAGACAGGCCTAGTTGATATTAATGACATACTACTATACAGAAAGCCACTCGTTTTGCAGAGCATTTTGGGCAAATTAGGTCAGTCTTGTCTCGGATGTGACCCATACCAGTCGACTAACTCCCAGGTACCCATTTTACTGATGGGTGAACATAGACAATTGGTGAAAGAAACACCCTCGCTGGGATTCGAACCCAGACCCTCGCTGTATGAAGCAAGAGCTTTAGCTGCCAGGCCACGGGGCCTGGTGGCATGCTGTTGGTACACTATACGTATACAGTGGACCCCCGGTTAACGATATTTTTTCACTCCAGAAGTATGTTCAGGTGCCAGTACTGACCGAATTTGTTCACATAAGAAATATTGTGAAGTAGATTAGTCCATTTCAGACCCCCAAACATACACATACAAACGCACTTACATAAATACACTTACATAATTGGTCACATTCGGAGGTAATCGTTATGCGGGGGTCCACTGTATTGCAATATGAAAAAAAAAATAATTTCCAGTAATATCATTATCTAGAGCAGGATAATATACAGACACAAGTTTTTCCCTATTGAATAAATAAGAAACCAAGATGATGACAGCATTAATATACTGTAGTATACTGTATTTTACTTCATATTTAATTTAGAAAGAAATCTTATCTTATTACAACAACATAATTCATGTATGATGATTTAAAAATATTCTACACCATTTAGCTTTTAAGAATACATAATAATTAATAAAATTTATGTATACAGTACTCTATGTTGTACTGGTGAATATACTGATGTCAACACAGACTTTCATTCTATAAAAATAAAATTTTATTCATATTTTTCCTTAACCTTTTGTGAAAATTTCTTGAAAGCTTGCAGGCGCACATCATCTGGTAACTTGTCAAGTTTACTTAACAGCTCATCCACCTGTTGGCAGAAATAAATATTAATGTTTAAGTGATATACAATGGTACAATCGTTAAAAACTGTTAAACTACTGTAGTACACAGTAAAACCAAAATGTGAACCTGAAGAGGCAATACATATAAATCTTTAGCTTTTACTTGGTGAATCAGACATATTTTAAATATTGCTTCAGTCATGCATTTATCTATTTATTCATTTATTTAAAAAAACACTGTATACATGTATATTTATTTACCTCATAGGCCATCTCTGCCAGGGCAATTTGACCCAAAAAAGCTCCTTTACCATCATTCATTTAATCAATTGATATGTGTGTATACATTTAATTATTCCCATCTTCAACATCAGTGATCATAGAAGAGTGATAGTGCTAGCACCACACATCACAGCCTCAACATCAATGATGACAGAGGTGCAATGCTTGCTGCACCACACAAATCACAGCCTCAACATCAATGATGACAGGAGTGATGCTGGCAGCACCACACATCATCAACGACCACAAAGAAGTGATGCTGGCAGCACCACACATCAATGACCACAGAGGAGTGATGCTGGCAGCACCACACATCAACGACCACAGAGGAGTGATGCTGGCAGCACTACACAACCTGAACATCAATGACCACACATCACAACCTGAACATCAGCAACCACAGAGGAGTGATGCTGGCAGCACCACACAACCTGAACATCAATGACCACACATCACAACCTGAACATCAACGACCACAGAGGAGTGATGCTTGCAGCACAACCTGAACATCGACGACCACAGAGGAGCGATGCTGGCAGCATCATACATCAACGACCACAGAGGAGTGATGCTGGCAGCACCACACATAAACAACCACAGAGGAGTGATGCTTGCAGCACCACACATCACTACCTGAACATCAATGACCATAGAGGAGTGATGCTGGCAGCACCACACATCACAACCTGAACATCAGTGACCACAGAGGAGTGATTCTGGCAGCACCACACATCACAACCTGAACATCAACGACCAAAGAGAAGTGATGCTTGCAGCACAACCTGAACATCGACGACCACAGAGGAGCGATGCTGGCAGCACCATACATCAACGACCACAGAGGAGTGATGCTGGCAGCACCACACATCAATGGCCACAGAGGAGTGATGCTGGCAGCACCACACATCATCAGAGAGAGAGGTGAGGATGATCCAGCAAGACTGGACCTTGTATTCACCTTGAGTAGTTCAGACATCGAGGATATCATGTGTCAAAGACCCCTAAGAGCTAGTGATCATCATGTGGTTCTGTGCTTTGACGACATAGTTGAGCTAAAAGTGGAGAGAGTAGCAGGAATAGGATGGAAAAAAACAAACTACAAAAGGGGGACTACACAGGCATGAGGAACTTCCTGCAAGACGTTTAGTGGGAGAGAGAACTGACAGGAAAACCAGTACAAGAAATTATGGACTATGTGACAAAAAAAATGAAAGGAGGCAGAGGAGAGGTTTTTCCCAAGGGAAACAGAAATAATGGGAAGCCCAGAACGAGGTCCCTGGTTCACCCAAAGGTGAGGGAAGCAAAAATGGTGCACTAGAAAATGGAAAAGGGTACAAAAGAAAAAGGGGACCCAAAAAAATAAAGAGTTTACCGAAGCCCCAAAGAAACAAATATGCACAGATGAAGGGAGGCCCTCACGACAATTGAAAACGACATGCATCAAAAGTCAAGTCTGCCCCGAAACGGTTGTAAGCCAATAGGAGGAAAACAACAGTCAAGGACCAGGTAATCAGATGAGGAAGTGTGATGGGGGGCTCACAAAAAGGGCCCCCGAGAGGTATTGAGAGCCAACATAAATTTTAAAGAAGTTTTTACAGGGGAAAACCCGTAACCCCGGGAAAAATCAGAACAGGGGGGTACACCAACAAGTGCGGGAGAGGTACACATAATCAAGGAGGAGGTGAAAAGTGCTATGTGAATTTTGACCCCTAAAAGGCGGGGGGCCCAGACAACACTCTCCGTGGGCCCTTTAAGACGGAGTAGGATGCGTGTGTCCCCTTACAAAGATCTTCAACAATCCATTGAAACGGGAAACTCCTGAGGTAGGAAGAGGCAAATGTAGCCCCAATTTTTAAAAAGGGAGACAACTGGGGCACAAACTGCCGTACAGTATGCAAGTCATAGAGAAGATCATCGGGAAGGTGGTGGACACTGGAAAAAAAAAAAGTGTTAATTGAAAACCGCACAGTTTGGGGGGAAAAAAAACGTGTCACAAACCTCTGGAGTTTTATGACAAGGTGACAGAAGAAGACAAGAGAAGAGGGGGGGTCGACTGCATTTTTTTTGGATGAACCTTCGACAAAAGTTCCTCCAAGGGTTACTGCAAAAGTAGGGATAGGCACAAAACGGGGAAAGGCACGTAATGGTCAAATACCTGACAGGGGGAAAAAACGAGTCATGGTACATGACAAGGTGTCAGGTGGGCACCTGGAAAAGCGGGGTTCCACAGGGGCGTCCCAGGACCTGTGCTGTTTTTGGTTATGTGAATGACATAACGGAAGGGATAGACCCAAAAAGTGTCCTTGTTTGCAGATGATGTGAAGTTAATAGAAGAAACAAATCGGACGAGGGTCAGCGGACTACAAAAAGACCGGACAGGCTACAAGCCTGACCCGCAATTGGCTCCCTTGAGTTTAACCCCCGCCAAATGCAAAGTCATGAAAAATTGGGGAACAAGAAAAAAAACCCTAGCACAACATAGTCAGATGGCCAAAGACTGCAAAACCCCACTCAAAGGAAAAAGATTGGGGGTAAATATAACACCGACATATTTCCCGAGGGGCACATCAATCAGATAATGCTGCAGCATATGGGCTCTGGCAACCCCCGGAAAGCATTTCGATACCTCAGTAAGGAATCGTTCAAGACTGTATACCATTTACGTCAGGCCCCTAACCCGGGTAGCAGCACCAGTTTGGGGAAACCATACCGGGCAAACACGTCAAGAAATTGAGAAAGTGCAAAGGTTTGCAACAAGCTACCCGAGCTGTGGGATTGTCCCACAAAGAAAAAGGTTGGGGGGAAATTGGCCTTGACGAAATAGGAAGGGGGTCAGGGGGGAGGGAAAAGATAACACATAAAAATACTGCGCGGAATAGACAAGGGGACAAAGACGGGATGTTCCAGAGATGGGACACAGAAACAAGAGGTCACAATTGGAAGTTGAAGTCTCAGATGAATCAAAGGGATGTTACCTGGAGTTTACCTGGAGAGAGTTCTGGGGGTCAACGCCCCCGCGGCCCGGTCTGTGACCAGGCCTCCTGGTGGATCAGAGCCTGATCAACCAGGCTGTTACTGCTGGCTGCACGCAAACCAACGTACGAGCCACAGCCCGGCTGATCAGGAACCGACTTTAGGTGCTTGTCCAGTGCCAGCTTGAAGACTGCCAGGGGTCTGTTGGTAATCCCCCTTATGTATGCTGGGAGGCAGTTGAACAGTCTCGGGCCCCTGACACTTATTGTATGGTCTCTTAATGTGCTAGTGACACCCCTGCTTTTCATTGGGGGGATGTTGCATCGTCTGCCGAGTCTTTTGCTTTTGTAGTGAGTGATTTTCGTGTGCAAGTTCGGTACTAGTCCCTCTACGATTTTCCAGGTGTATACAATCATGTATCTCTCCCACCTGCATTCCAGGGAATACAGGTTCAGGAACCTCAAGCACTCCCAGTAATTGAGGTATTTTATCTCTGTTATGCGCGCCGTGAAGGTTCTCTGTACATTTTCTAGGTCAGCAATTTCACCTGCCTTGAAAGGTGCTGTTAGTGTGCAGCAATATTCCAGCCTAGATAGAACAAGTGACTTGAAGAGTGTCATCATGGGCTTGGCATCCCTCGTTTTGAAGGTTCTCATTATCCATCCTGTCATTTTTCTAGCAGATGCGATCGATACAATGTTATGGTCCTTGAAGGTGAGATCCTCCGACATGATCACTCCCAGGTCTTTGACGTTGGTGTTTAGCTCTATTTTGTGGCCGGAATTTGTTTTGTACTCTGATGAAGATTTAATTTCCTCGTGTTTACCTTATCTGAGTAATTGAAATTTCTCATCGTTGAACTTCATATTGTTTTCTGCAGCCCACTGAAACATTTGGTTGATGTCCGCCTGGAGCCTTGCAGTGTCTGCAATGGAAGACACTGTCATGCAGATTCGGGTGTCATCTGCAAAGGAAGACACGGTGCTGTGGCTGACATCCTTGTCTATGTCAGATATGAGGATGAGGAACAAGATGGGAGCGAGTACTGTGCCTTGTGGAACAGAGCTTTTCACCGTGCCTGCCTCGGACTTTACTCTGTTGACTACTACTCTCTGTGTTCTGTTAGTGAGGAAATTATAGATCCATCGACCGACTTTTCCTGTTATTCCTTTAGCACGCATTTTGTGCTCTATTACGCCATGGTCACACTTGTCGAAGGCTTTTGCAAAGTCTGTATATATTACATCTGCATTCTTTTTGTCTTCTAGTGCATCTAGGACCTTGTCGTAGTGATCCAATAGTTGAGACAGACAGGAGCGACCTGTTCTAAACCCATGTTGCCCTGGGTTGTGTAACTGATGGGTTTCTAGATGGGTGGTGATCTTGCTTCTTAGGACTCTTTCAAAGATTTTTATGATATGGGATGTTAGTGCTATCGGTCTGTAGTTCTTTGCTGTTGCTTTACTGCCCCCTTTGTGGAGTGGGGCTATGTCTGTTGTTTTTAGTAACTGTGGGACGACCCCCGTGTCCATGCTTCCTCTCCACGGGATGGTAAAGGCTCGTGATAGGGGCTTCTTGCAGTTCTTGATGAACACGTTGTTCCACGAGTCTGGCCCTGGGGCAGAGTGCATGGGCATGTCATTTATCGCCTGTTCGAAGTCATTTGGCATCAGGATAACATCAGATAGGTTTGTGTTAACCAAATTCTGTGGCTTTCTCACAAAAAATTCATTTTGATCTTCGACTCTCAGTCTGGTTAGTGGCTTGCTAAAAAACTGAGTCATATTGGGACTTGAGTGGCTCACTCATTTCCTGCTGTCATCTGTGTAGGCCCATCTTGTTTAAGTAAGGGCCCAATACTGGACGTTTTTCTCGACTTTGATTTGGAATAGAGAAGAAATACTTTGGGTTTCTTTCGATTTCATTTATGGCTTTTAGTTCTTCCCGCGATTCCGACTCCTATAAGATTCCTTTAGCTTAAGTTTGATGTTTGCTATTTCTCTGACCAGTGTCTCCCTACGCATTTCAGATAGATTGACCTCTTTTAAGCCGCTCTGTTATTCTTTTCCGTCGCCTGTAAAGGGGAGCGCCTGTCTCTTTCTATTTTACATCTACTCCTCCTTTTTCTTAGAGGAATAAGTCTTGTGCATACATCGAGTGCCGCCAAGTTAATCTGTTCTAGGCATAAGTTGGGGTCTGTGTTGCTTAGTATTATCTTCCCAGCTTATATCGGTTAGGACTTGGTTTACTTGGTCCCACTTTATGTTTTGTTATTGAAGTTGAATTTGGTGAATGCTCCCTCGTGACTAATCTCATTTTGTCGGTCTGGGGCTCTGCGCATACATGTCTGAACCTCAATTATGTTGTGAATTGAGTATATTGTTTTTGATATGGTGACATTTCTTATCAGATCATCATTGTTAGTGAAGATGAGGTCTATGTAAATTCTCCATTCTAGTAGGCTCTATTATTTGCTGGTTTAAATTGAATTTTGTGCAGAGATTTAAAAGCTCGTGTGAGTGTGAGTTTTCATCAGAGCTGCCTCCTGGTGTTATTACTGCAACAATATTATTTGCTATATTCCTCCATTTTAGGTGCCTTAAGTTGAAATCCCCCAGGAACAAGATGTTGGGTGCAGGAGCTGGAAGATTTTCCAGACAGTGGTCAATTTTTAACAGCTGTTCCTGGAATTGCTGGGATGTTGCATCCGGAGGCTTGTAGACTACCACAATGACTAGGTTTTTGGGTTCTCAACCTTTACTGCTAAAACTTCCACTACATCATTTGAGGCATTAAGCAGTTCTGTGTGCAAACAAGTGACTCTGCAATGTACAGGCCAACCCCCCCCCCCCCCTTTTGCCTGTTCACTCTGTCACATCTGTATAGGTTGTTTACCCGGGATCCATATTTCGTTGTCTAAGTGATCCTTTATGTGGGTCTCAGTGAAAGCCGCGAACATTGCCTTTGCCTCTGCAAGCAGTCCACGGATGAAAGGTATTTTGTTGTTTGTTGCTGGCTTTAGACCCTGTATATTTGCAAAGAAGAATGTCATCGGACTGGTGGTATTGTTGGTACTGGGGGGGGGATTTTTTTTTCTGGCATTAGTATCTGTATCTGTTGGTTTGGAGTGGAGGCCATCGACTGTGGTTCCACTCCAG